AACAACCTCATCGTCAAGAAAATAAATCGCCGCCCAGAGATATGATTTGCCTAATCATTTAATCTCCCTGAACTTCCTCTTGGCTATTTGTAAATAAGGCTGCTAGTACTTGCTTTACCAATATAGAAAGGTTAAAAAACACAAAATGAGCCCTTGGAGCTTTGAAATAATAAAGTCTTATCTAAATAGCAGAGCGATCATAGTGTTGAAGCCCTCTAAATGCAAGAGACGGATTGAGACACAGACCATTCTGGAGAAGGAGGATGATCAGAAGAGGCTTCTGGAGCCAAATTCCCCTCCCCATTTTCTTTCTGCCCTCCCCAAAGAGAAAATTGAGGCCATTAGGAGGGGAAGATAGAGAAGAAACAAAGTGGCAACTGCTGAGAAACTTTCTAGTGGCTCCCCATACCATTACATAGAAAGGACGGATCTGTTACTAAAAGAGCAGGACACTGTGAAGTTTAAGCCTCTGGCCTCTGGAGTTAGACTGGGTGTAACAACCTGTTGTTTCCCTTACTAGTGTACCAATGGGCACGTTTCTTTATTTTCCTAGATTTCAGTTTCCTTGCCTGTAGAATGGCCTTCTGAGGACTAAATGGGATAATAGATGCAAAGCACATGGGCATAGATTTTACATTAGTTATGATTATATAAGAAACTCCATAATCTCAGGTCTACTCATTTTTTGTTCTTCATGTCCTGACATTATACTCTGGTTGGAGGGAATTACTCAATGTATTCTGAATACAAGTTCTTTATCACCTCTTCACCTCTCTCTCTCTCTCTCTCTCTCTCAAGATTTTTGCCTCAAGACCCAGTTCAGCTGCCATTTCCTGGGTAAAGAGTCTACTTTTTAAATTCTAAGCTGTAACTAACAGTTCATTTATGAATTATTTTATTACTATTTATTATTCAAGCTACTTGGGCTCAGCACTCTCTTCCTTGTACTTTGCAGATTAGAAACACCAGATCGCTCCTCGTACTTCTCCCAATTCCTGTATTTAGCACAAACCTGTGTCTTTACTGATCGGTGCTCCACCCAGCTCATCTGGCTAATTTTTATTCTTCCTTCAAGATTTGGCTCAGGCATTATTTCCCACCAGAGGAAAAAACATCTCCAAATTCTCCAGCTAGACTCAGATGTCCTACTCTCTGTGCTCACATAACCCTTCATTGCAAGTCTTACCTTTTTTATATCAAAATATTTGTCTGTCTCTACTACATTAAATTATTTGAGAGCAGGACTGTACCCCTGTGCTCAGAACAGTTCTTTTTAAATAATTACTTTAACATGTAATTCACATACACAAGTTGCCAATTTAAGTGTACAACATTTTTAGTGTATTTATAGAGTTGTACAGCCATCACAATTTTACATTTTAGTGACTCCAGAAAGAAATCCTGTACCCATAAGCAGGCACTCCCTATTTCCCCCAATTTCCCAAGTCCTAGGCAATCACCAATTTATTTCTGTTTCAATGGGTTTGCCTATTCTTGACATTTCATATGAGTGGAATCATAAAATATGTGGTCCTTTATGACTGGCTTCTTTCACTTAGCATAATGTTTTCAGGGTTCATCCATGTTGTAGCAAGCATTGGTACTTCATTCATTTTTATTACCAAATAATATTCCATTGTATGAATATACTACATTTTATTTATCTATCAAGTGATGGACGTTTGGGTTGTTTCCACCTTTTGACTAACATCATAAATAATGCTGTTATGACCATGCATGTCCAAGTTTTTGTGTGGGCCTATGTTTCCATTTTTCTTGGGTATATAGCTAGAAATAGAGTTGATGGGTCATATGGTAACTCTACATTTAACCTTTTGAGGAACTAACAGACCATTACCTAAAATGGTTGCATCATTTTACATTCCCATTAGCAATGTATGAGATTTCCATTTTCTCCACATCCTTGCCAACACTTTTTGATTATAGTTGTTGTCATCCTAGTGGGCATAAAGTGGTATCTCACTCTGGTTTTGATTTGTGTTTCTACAATGACTAATGATGTTGAGCATCTTTTTATGTGCTTACTAGCTATTCATAGATAGTATTACTTTTTGTAATTTAAAAATATATCATATACCTTAAACTAATACAATGTGTGAATTATATTTCAATAAAATAGGAAAATATATAGTTTAATATGGTACTTTGAGTAGCAGATTTCTAATTAAAGGAGTGTATAATCACAAATAAATATGGAGGCCAAAGCAAAGCAATTGCCCTGGCCCAATCAGCCTAAGTCCATCAGGGCAAACCTACAGTCCAACAAAGTCAGGCAGATTTCACTATAATAAGGGTAACCACACCAGAGGGAGGTAGGGTGTCTTACCAAAGGAAAAGATAGTAATTATAGAATAATGGGGAAGGGTGCAGGTTGAGTGAAATTTGAATAAAATAAAGCTTGATAGGTTCAAAGGAACACAGAGCTACAGGAAAAGAGGATCAACATCAGCTCTAGTCTGTGAGGCGGACCCAGGGTTGTTTCCTTGGAAACTACAAAGTTAGATGTAGAAGGTTGTGTTCAGAAACCCCTGCTCTGAAGCTGCACACCTGGGCTGGAGATCAAGCTGATTCTCTGTCATAATGACTCAGGTTCTCTTAAGCAAGACTGTAAGGCTTCATTCTTGCTGACAGAATTTCAAACAGCAAACTCTCTAACAGTTTATGATTTCAGAAAACAAAGTTTCTCGGTGAATTAAAAAAGTAGTCTCTCAGAGAAGGGAATTATTGTGACACTTTAACTTGCAGAGTGTGCTTAGCAGAAACATTGATTCCTGTTAACTTTGCAGCCACTTTTCTGTGTTTGTTTATCTGTGATGAATGGCAGGGAATAATTTTTTTACTTTCTCAGTCTAAGCAAATATTTACTGTCTCAAGATAAATTCACAGGTGACTGAACAATCTGTAGAGGTCTGGTTGTCGGGATCACCAAAGTCATTCATTACCAATGAGCCTTGGATGTGAAAGGTGGGCTGAAGGCATCATTCTGTTCGATATGAGTGTATGTTGTCCATTCTGATAGCTCTAAACAAGTGAGGTGACACTAGTTATTAGTCCAGATAGTTTGCTAATTTGATGGTGTAGCAGATGCATTGCTATTGATTCACCACTTTTTTACTCTTCCTAGGCACATGGGAAGACTACGTTCTTGATCTTCTTGCAGTTATGTTGGAATCCCATGGCTAAATTTGACAGATATGGGCAGAAGCAAGTAAATACTTCCAAGACTGTCTTGAAAAACACCCCGCCCCCACTTCCAATGTGACCATGGAGGCCACATGTTTTCGGTGACACAGCTACAAACGGAGGCCAGCTGTGCAACTTCCAAAGGACTTCATGTAAGCCAGCAATTTTTAATCACTTTCACTTCATGGCACACGTAAACTACTAAAATTCTGCAGCTAACCAAAAAATGTATTTTTTGCCAATCTGACAAAAAAATAGTAGGTATAATTCTGATTCACACTGGATGGCTATTGTTGTGGTGGCTGTTAACTTTTTTTTTATTTGCCAATCTAAGGGGAAAGAGCTCAGTGCCCCTGATTAAATAGTCAGGTATTGCATTTAAAAATTCTTGCAGCTCACCGGATGAAAATTGCTGATGTAAGCAAAACCCTAGACTTTTGTTGTGTTTCGTCTCTGAGGGTTTTTTTTTCCTGCAGCATAGCCCAGTCTATTGAGATTAATACAATCGGTATTACTCTCCCAGCTTTCCCCTTAAAAAACGAAGAGCAGAAATCATGCATTTCCTAAAAAAATACACATTATCAGACCATATAGCACAGTCCTAATACAGCCAGCAGATGCTCGTTTTGCCAAGTAAAAACTTAACTCCCATGGTACATACTTTCTCCTTCACAGACACCCTGCCACCCCTGGCTCTGTTCTTCTAACAGAATGGCAGACACCTCCTAAATCCTGGCTCACTGAACCATCATAATTCACTTTTCTTTCCTCCCTTAAAATGGCCAAACAGTAAAAATAAATGGGGGACGGGGAGCATTCATCTGGGACTCACAAAATTTGGACAGCAGTGGGGACAGAACTCCTTTTCCATCCCACCACTTTGGGGAAACTGGCTTAGACGTGGAAACTCTAATCGTCCCATTAGAGCCTGGTGTCCACATCCACAGGATTTGGGAGTTATCATTTCTTTGTCATCCTCTCATAAGATCATCAAATCCTGATTATCCTCTCTCTTCATTCTTTTCAACTGTGACCTATTCTTTCCCACTGCTCCTTAGTTCAGGCTTTTATTTTTTCTCACTTTGACTGTTCTAATAGGTGAACTGATTGCCTGTCTCCACCCCCTCACCCCCACTCAAAGGTACTTTCTTCCTGGCTTCTAAAATGCAATTCTGAGCATGACTTCCCTCTATGTACTATTTCCAGTCTCATACAGGAGGAAGGTCTAATCTTCCTGCAAAGTACAAAAGATTCTGATCTGGCTCCTGCCTACCTCTCTAGCCACATTTCCTACCAGTTCCCATAGAAAACCCCACATTGACTTGTACTTCTCTGAATATGACCATGCTCTTTCTTGCATTTAGAGACTGGTACTTGGGTATTTTCTCTGCCTTAGACACCTTTCCCTATTCCCAGAGAACTCCTGCTTAGCCTTCAAAACCTAGTTCCAGTATCTGCCTTCTGAAGTTTACCCTGATCCTCTCTGGCTCCCACCTGGCCGTAGGTGACCTCCAACTCTTCAGGACTACCAGTAAGCCTGAACACGCCTGTTATTCCACAACACTGACAGTATTTGTGTCTGTGGGTGTCTCCTCTGGTAGGCTGTGAACAACGTGAGGGTCATGGCCCCGGCATGGAGTAGGTGCTGTGTGTTCAGATGAAGGCGGTAAGGCAGGCTGTCAGATAGTGGTGAGCTGGGGTGGAGTCTAATCCCCCAGCCAGTGTCTCTGAAACATGACCATAGTGGCAGAATGGGAAAAACTGAATTTATCACAAGAAGAAATTCAGTCAACCTATACATGTTCAAGTTTTATTACAAAGTATGATGGACAGAAAATATGGTCTTATACAGGAGGCTGAAACAGAATGAAAGGTTGAAAATTAGGTTTAATATACCTAATTAAGCAAGAAATAAAGTCATAGACATAACACTCCACTTTCAGGTGCCTTTGAGATAGCCTTCAATGGGGATTTACCATTGTGGTTTCACAGCACAGTGTTAAAATTTTATTAAAAGCCCTGTGTACAATCAGTCCTGTGAAAATAATATCTTAAAAAGAAAAATGGTTACAGTACAGTTCTGCAAGGGGCAGCTTCCTCTTCACCTGACCAAAGGATGCCACAAAATCTATGGTATAGAGGAAAAGTTTAAATATATAACAAGAAAGTAAGTTCAGACACACTAGGCTAAAAGGGACAGAGATTGATTGGCTAGAGCTTAACATTTCAGAGAACAAGAAATCTCCATTTTCTACATAGAGGTTTGTACAATCATGCTACAAATTCACACTAGGGGAGGGGGGATGGAAAGTCACTGACAGAGGGGTTCATAAAATACACAGGAACCAAAGCAAATGATTCATACTTGACCCAAGAAGCAAGTCAAAGCTTTAGCTCAACAAGTCATAACACACTGTACACCACAGTCAACCCAAGGTGAGAACATTTCTTTTAAATAGCAGATATCACAAGTTCATATCCACTCGCTTGTCCCAAAGGTGGGCACTTCCAAGTTTCCCAGCTGTTACACAGACTGCCAACATCTTTCTTCTCGAGTTCATACTTTCATTAGCTTATTTGTTTCTGGTTTGATATACCAGTCCAAGCCTCTTTGGAAAGGCACCTGCATGTCCTATATTTAAAAAATAATATGCAGAAAGTAGCCTGAGAGGACCTGGCCCATATATTTGCCTTTGACCATTAGCAGCAATGCCCACTGTGGGGGAAGAGGGTGCAGGTGCGGGAGGTGGGCAAGGCTCTGCAATTGAGACTTTCTCGGTAGCTGGTTTGGCCAGTACAGAAATACGATGCTTAGAGAGCCTGGCCCCAAGTTCACAGTGACTGCTCAGTTCAGCTTTCCTCCCAGGGAAAAACCAAATGAAGTGCCAAGCATAGCCCTCCTTCCTCATCCTGGAGTGCAGAGAGTAAAGGGGATAGTCTGCTTTGAGACTTCTACTTCAACGGCTTCCCTTTCCCCAAGCCAGGCAGTTGAAGGAACTGCCATGTTCTCACACAAGGGAAGGGGGACACATGGTCTTGGGCTGGCCCTCCTGTGTTTGGAAAACCTTGCAGGCCCTACCTATTCTTATAGCCTAGGAATTCAAGGCCCAGGCTGCAGCAGGGAGAAAGTTCTACAGTGGAAAGGAAGAGGGAACAGAAGAGGAAGAGAAAGGGGAAAGGTGGGGCAAAGTCAGGATGACTGTTTACAACCTCTGCTTCTTCGGCTCTCAATAAACCTACAGCCAAGAAGAGCCACGGTCTGGGACAATCACTGGACTCCAGAGACCTGAAGATTTCTACCACCGAACATCATGCATGGCTGCATCACTGCAGGGAGACACTCCTCTGCCCTGAGCTGTCACCCTGTCCCCCTTCAATGGCTTCCCTTTCCCCAAGCCAGGCAGTTGAAGGAACTGCCATGTTCTTACACAGGGGAAGGGGGATACATGGTCTTGGGCTGGCCCTCCAGCCCAAGCATCACAGACGGCCGGTGAATGGTCCCTGCCACCCAGGCCACACCTCAGACAGTGTGAATACTTCCCCACCTCAGGCCATTACTGCCCTCTAATATTTTCTCCTTTGACCTAAAGCAACACTTACCGTTGATTTTCTCTCACATTCTAAATCTCCTTCTAAAGCCACGACTATCATCAAAACCTTGTAGAAATCTCAATTTTTTGTTTCTTCCCCAAACCTAACCAGTTCTCTGAGAGTCGATCCTGGTTCTGATAAAACATTCTCACCTAGTTATTAAATATCTTCCCTCTTCAAGTCCTCTCCTCGCAGCCAGATTCCTCCCTGGAAGGAGAGGGTTCCAGCTCTCCTGAGAGTAAACACTCAAGCTCTGGGAGGACTTGTACCCATTCACCAGCTCTCTGAAGTGGAACCTGAGGCCAAACTTATTCCGCACCTTCCCCCACTTCCCCTCAGGGCAGATAAGAAAAACAAAGGGTAGCTTCAGCTCAAGGGCCAAGAACAAGCCAAAGAGCCAGCAGAGCCAGGGTGCAGAGGGGCCACCATGGCCCTTCCAACGGCATCCTGGCAGCTGGTGTGCTCACACTCCAGGAGAGCAGGTGCAGACCCTCCCACCCATGCTCTCTGGCTGTCAGTTTGAGAATCTAAACAGATTAAACAGACACTTGCTTTTGAAACTACAACAGATCTGTGCTTCTGGAACATGGCTGGCTGAGAGGCTTTCTAAATCTCGAGACCACAGAAATCCCCTCCTCAACCATGAGGCCGTTTGGCCTGTGGCAGAAGGAGAGGGTAGGAACTGGGACTTCCAAATACCAGTGTCCCAACCTCTGTGAGCAAGCGTGTGTCAGCGCAGGGAGACGGGGATGTGAGGAGGAGGACTGCACTGCAGGACCTTGGACGGTGACGGGCTGGGAGTCCACAGGGAAGGGAAAAAAAAATCAAAAGTTGTAGGTGAATAAGTAGCAACTTTAACCAAGTATATTCTAATTTCTGTTAAGTAATTTTTTTTCTCCAGGTTGTTTTCAAGTTCTAGTTGACAAATCTCACCATTCAGACCAGGTTTAAGTGCAGACTGGGAAAGGAATCTTAAATCAGAACTCAGTATACTTAAGCCCTGCCAAGCAGGACCAGGTCCCTCTACCACCCTAACCTCCATTTCAGACCCTTTTCCACAGGAGGGAACTGACCGCCTCCTGGAGCAGGCTACCCTTGGGAAAAGGACCTGGAACTGTCCAACACAACTACAAGCAGAGGAGGGTTCAGACCAAGAACCACTCACTTTACATCTCCCCATGACATACTGCAAGTCTGGTGGCAAAAGCAGGGGAGTACACCTCAAGCAGGTGACCAGCCAAAGAGCCCCAAGACCAGCATAAAAAAGTAAAAAGGTAGAAAGGGAAATAAAAGAGCTTTTTACTTTGGGACAAGCCCCTGGGTAGTAAAGAGGTATGACTTTGAGGATACAAATACATCTGCTTCTGAAAAGGAAGACAGCAGAAAAGCTCTCACAGGGCTCAGAATGACGAAGCAGGAGAGAGCTTCCATGGACACAACCATCAGACCGAAAGCCTGCTACCCTCCCTGGGTCTCAGAAACCTTCTGCCATTTGGCAGCGCATGACAAACCAGGCAGACTCCTGCCCAGACTCTAAGTGTGTCCCAAACTCGGCCTACAACCAGAGCTGCACACGAGCCCCCTCCGTGGAACTTACTCGCAGAATGGAAACGGACACCCGTGCCCTCCAAGTCCAATACCGCTCGGAACCCAACCTGGGGGCAGGGCGGCGGACAGGTGTGCACAGAGCTGTTAACTGGCTGACCCTGGGGTCTCTGATTCTTTTTGTAGCTATCTATTTATATGATGGCCTGAAATCACAATGGCCTATCAGTCCCTCCCTTATAAGAGGTGGCATCTCCCCACACTGAGACTTTTTTCAGGGTAAGACACACACGTTGTGTGTCTCTCACACAGGAGTCTCACCTCAGGGCACTCAACCAAGGAGTGGCTGAGAGACCACCAGTCTCAATAAACTACACAGACATACTGAAGCTGGGCTATGGATCATTCTTGCCTATCGTTCAATATACGAAAGAGAATTTCTGGGGCTTTTATTTGGAGGGAAAAACAGACTCTGAAACTAGGTACTGGAAACATGCTGTGGGCTCAGCTTTCCTGAAACCATTGCCCTCAAGTCCCCAGCCGGCCCATCTCAGCTGTAGCACACTCTCGGGAGGTTCCTGTGGGGCTGGACAGAGGTACCGCAGGGAGAAACGGCAGGCTTCACACATCTGTTTTGGAGCCCAGAATGCCCTTGAGAAGAGCCAGGCTGAGAAAAGCTGTGAGAGCTGGCCGACTTCAGAGCACCAGGGCGGAGTGGGACTCCCAGACAGGTCAGTTCTGCTCAGGCAGTGATTCAAGAAGGCAAACTGCTCACGGGGACAAGGGTCCAGTGCCACGTCCAGGCACGGAGGGAAAGGAGGAAGGTGCTGATAGGGAGGACTACGAAACAAAGGAAGAAGCCAGAGAGTAAAATTCTTTTCATAAAAAAATTAGCCTGATAGATAAAAAATATACAAAGTTGAAATTTGTTACAGACATAGATAAGAGGAGGAAAGACAACTTCAGATTGGTTATTTGTTCCCACTTAAGTGCTAGCACGGACATGGACACAGAGCGCTGCCTTGGGCAACAGACAGACAGAGACATCTGGGGCAGAGGACTACGCACACGCCCAGTGCCGGTAATGCTCATTAACACGATGGCTGACAAACAAATATACAGAAATTTTTAATTGAGGAACCAAAGGAGAAGAGGAAAGGAGAGAAAAATCTTAAAACTCAGCCCTGGGCTGAGGAGGCATCACACAGCGCCGAGTCCGGCGCCGAGTGATGGGGTGACTGGCCAGGAACATCTAGAGCAGTTTCTGGTAATAGTGGGTGCAAAGCAATGAAAGACACACTGGCCACTGGAAACATGTTTCTTCTTACTTTGGGGTGGGGCAGAGGCGGGAAATACATAAGCCCCTGCCTCCTGGGCGTGGCGCCTCCACACTACACTCTGAGTATCTCCAGGCAGTTGTTGTAGCAGATGGCAATCCAGTCGGGCTGAGTCGATGCCCACTGCACGTTGTTGATCTCTCCCTCGGCTGTGTAGGCCAGGATAGGGTCCTCGATGGCCCGGGGCATTTGCTGGATGTCCCAGATGAGAGCCTGATGGTCATCCGCTAGGGACACAGAAAGCCAGAAAGCCAGGTCACACCTCAGGCAAAGAAGATAACCACCTCTGCATTTGGTAGTGGTGGCAGTCCGACTTTACAAAACATCTGTTCACCAAAACCCCAGTGAGGGAGATTTTATTTTAAGCCCATTTTACAGACGAGGAAACTGAGATTCAGAACTGTTAAGGGGCTTGCCCCAAACCACAGAGCTCTGCAGCCAGTGAGTGGCAGGGCAGACTCAAAGTGAGCCTCCGACTGTCCCAGGGCTGTATGCACTGCCTCAGAGCTGGGAAGCCAGAGTGGGAGTTGGTGGGCACCTCTCATGTAGGCTGAGCAGGCACCAGGAAAGGAGGATGGGGTGAGATAAAAATGATTTCAAAACATGTCATTTTCAGCCACTTACAGTGCTTGAGTGATTAAAGATCCTTCTCTGATGATTCAATTTAATGGAACTTCCCCCCTATTTTATGGGCATTTACAGTTAAATGAAGTGTTAAACAGATAATGAGATGAAGTACTGTGTGAACATGTGTTATTAAAAACAACTTCCCACTCCTTCACCATCTGGGAGCCTGTGGAGCCTGCCAGGAACCGGACTTCTACAATAAACATGTCTGGAAGGCTGTGGTCCAAGGCCATTTTTGCTGGCTATAAATGGGGTCTCCAGAACCAGAGGGAGCACACAGCTCTTCTTAAAACTGAAGGTGTTGATGCTCGAGATGAAACTGAATTCTATGTAGGCGAGAGATGTGCTTATGTGTACAAAGCAAAGAACAGCACAGTGACTCCAGACGGCAAACCGTACTAAACGGGAGTGCTCTGGGGAAAGGGAACTCGTGCTCATGCAAACGGGCTCGGCCTGTGCTCAATTCCGCAGCAACCTTCCTGCAAAGGCCACTGGACACAGAACCCGTGCAATGCTGTGCCCCTCAAGGATTTAACCTTACTGATAAATAAATAACAACCCTGACTGTGTGTCTCAGTTGGGGGCCCCCTGGCAAAGCGAAGGATCCCAGGTTGGGACACACGGTTGGGCTGCAGGTTTAGTCCCTGGTCAAGATGCAGAGGGGAGCCAACGGATGAATGTTCCTCACACATCGATGGTTCTCATCTTTTTCTCCTTCCCTTCCCTCTCAAATTAGTAAATAAAATCTATTTTAAAGAGTAAAAAATAAATAAAAATTAAAAATAAAAATAAAAACAATTTTCCCAGTAAAAGGCCCCAGGAAGAAGGTGGTCACCTTAAATAAATATAAAAGCACATGAGCTGCCTAGAAGGAAATACTATCACGAGAACAGTGGTACTATTAGGATGGCAAGGTTGTTGGTTAGGTTTACTTTTTTCTAGTTCTAAAGTGACCTGCAATGTTATCATGTTACTTTTATAATCAAAATAGTAAGTTCTTAATCTAAGAGAAGAAAAAGAAAAGCAAGGACCTTCACTCTCACAGTGTCTCATAATCCCATCGGCCCATCCCAGTGGGAAAGCCTGTCTCTGATACACAGGGGATCTGAATAAAATAAACCCTCACTGGCCTCCTGCCACGGCTGTGTAACCCAGGCAAGGTGTGAGATGCCCTTCTGGTGACAATCTGTCAAGATGTCTGGGGAACTGTTTTAAAGGCTCAGCACCTCTAAAGCACTAAGTTCTTTTCCTCAAAACTAAACTAAGCACACTCTTCAGCAGTACCTCCTTCCACGGAAAGGACCCAAGACAGGTGCAGCCCACACAACAGCGGCGAGCCAGGCAAAGGCAGCAGCAGGATGCCCTGCGGGGGGTGTGGCTCAGGGGACTGAGTGCCAGCCTGCACACCAAAGGGTTGCCAGTTTGATCCCCAGTCAGGGCACATGCCTGGCCAGGTCCCCAGTAGGGGCACGCAAGAGGCAACAACACATTGATGATTCTCTCCCTCTCTCTCCCTCTCTCTCCCTTCCCTTCTTTCTAAAAAAAGAGGCAGCAGCAGGAGCAGATGATGAACTTCTGCTGGGGGGAACATTCTTGTTCCCCATGAACAATGGACGACACCTTTATTTTTCCCTTCACCCACCCCTTCCTATCCACACACTCCTGGGGAAAAAAAAACAGGGCAGTAATGAAGAAGTCAGACCACAAGCTGAGTAAGGTACAGAGGAAGGCGGCAGGGCCCTAACTGCCCCTCCATGAGATGCAAAGGCATGAGCAAAGGCCCAACACAGCAAAGACTTCATAAACCTTTCAAATTAATGCTAAAATGGCAGAAAACCACCTAACCACTACACTGCTCCTTTGGCTCCATAATGAACAAGGAAATGAGGACAGTGCTGATTAGCAAGAGGAATACTCATAGTTAGAAGGAAACCCTAGACACTGACAAAGATAAGGTGCAGAACACTGTGGGGCTAGAGTGAAATCCCATCTGTGTATAATAAAGGGACAAGTATTTGTACGGGGGGTGGGAGACTGTGCACCTGCATATATCCACATAGAAAGGTCTGGAAGGAGACACACAAACTGCTGTTAGAGGTCACCTATGAAGAGTACAACTGAGGTGGAAATGGGATAGGAAAGAGAAAAGATTTTTGCTTTCCTATCTTATATGCCTCTGTACTGTTTTAATTTTTAATAAGAGAATTATATTATTTCTAAAATAAAAGCACACTGATAGCCAGCCTATTTCTAAGGGGTTCTCCTTCTGGTCTGGCAAACGGAGAAATGAAAACTACAAGTCACACAGCACTGACCAAGCTAGGCCACGAAGAGCCCTTCAATGCATCCAGAGCTCCCTGTGGGTTCCTCACATCGCCCAAGGGAGATGCCAATCGTGACGGTCCCAACAACTCTGTTATGTCTGAGGCAGACTGCCCACATTCCTAGGTCCAAGTCCTCTGTGTCAATCTAGATTTCGGGAGGGTGGTGGGGAACAGTGTGAGACACGAGTCTATAACTGATACATGATGTAAATAGTAAATGGAAGATGCTCTGATCTCACTGAGAATACAAGAGCATTTGGAAAACTGGACTGCTTCAGTTTCACAAGTGTGGGGAACCTCTTAATTGAGTTACTTTGTGTAAAAATTTCAAACTATCCTTGGAAAACAGTAAGATTATGATTTTAAGAAAGATCTTCTTACCTCTCCCTCCCCAGGTAGCCCCTCCCCTGCCATGATTACCTGCAGTGCAGATGTGGCAGGATGAATGTGGAGCCCACGCAATACCATTGACACATGCTCGGTGGTTGTTTAACCTTGCGACAGGCGTGCATGGAACTCGGACATCCAGAATCACTACCTGCAGAAATAACAAGTAAACTTCAGAGTGTGGCAGAAGAAAAAAAACAAAAGACACTACACAGGAGAAAAATATTTATTTGTTTGTTTGTTTATTTAATTTTATTTTTAGACAGAGAGGAAGGGAGGGAGAAAGAGAGGTGGAGAACATCAATGTGTGGTAAGCCTCTAGTGCACCCCCTACTGGAGACGTGGCCCGCAATCCAGGCAGGTGCCCTAACTGGGAATTGAACCAGTGACCCTTTGGTTTGCAGGCTGGCACTCAATCCACTGAGCCACACCAGCCAGGATGAAAAAAAATTTCTTAAAGCACACCTCCTTCATTTGTGGATTTAAAGATTATTAGATACATAGGCTCTCTGTCCCAAAAGTAGCTACTGGATTGAGGAAAAAGAACACAAAGAAGACACAGGTAGTTTATAGTCTATATCTAAAGCAATACAGGGTCTTCAGACTGATAAGGAAGGGAAGATACAGAAGCAGGTAACTTGAATTTGGATACTGCACCAAGTCCCCCTGGGTGCACATGCTGACTTTCCGTGCATGCTCAGCACTCTCTGCCCCCAAAGGAGAATCTGGAATGTAAGGAGTCTGAGGGACTGGCTCCACAAAACAAAGTTAATCGCCGCATCATCTCTACCCACAACTTACTGTTTTTATCAAGTAACAGGATAGAGTTGCTACTTCCATGTTTGTTTGCCAAAGCTAGAAGAATCTGACTTGACTACAAAAGGGGGAAACTGCCTGTTTCTTTACTCAGCCCCGTGAGCACATATGACTTAGTTTACTTTTTAGATATTGCTTTTCTTGACACCAACTTCAGTTCCTCGAGTACTGAAAGTTCTTAACATATTGTGCTTGTTCTATTATCAGGTTTTTTCAGTCTCCGCACTCCCAGGGTTTGGATAAGACTTCGCTGTGGAGCCCTGTCCTGTGCACTGCAGGAGGTTTAGCAGCATCCCTGGCCTCTGCCCACGAGATGCCAGTAGCACTGCCCCACTCCTGCTGAGTTGGGATAATCAAAACCATCTCCAGACATCTTCAAAAATCCACCAGGAGAAAACTGCTACCAGTTGAGAACCACTGTTCTTGATATATGAAGTAGTACCTGTGTTAGGTGGCAGGGCCTATGCTATCTGAAGCAGGGTTCTCACCTCCATTCCATCCATGGCCATGGTGGCCAGGTAGTTAGGGTCCTGCTTGTTCCAGCAGAGGCGAAGCAGCGGGTGATGCTGTGGGTCTTCATAAATGATGGTGCTGTGTTCTAGATGGCGGAGGTCAAACATCCGCACCGAGCCATCAGCACCCACAGAGGCAAACATGTCCCTGCCACCCCCAGCCCGGCTAAACGCGATATCATAGACCTGTTGGTGAACAAGACATTTCGGTCAGATCCCATTCCATTACCTCCTTTTCCCATACCAGGGAAATGTGCTATCCCTAGTTCATCTAAACCCCTGTTCACGACACAAGAGGAATTGAATAGAGCCAAACAGTGTCTGTGAGTCTGGAACTTGAGAACTCTAACATCAGTGACTTCCCAAAAAGTGAAGATCATTCTGCTCTGGAAATTGGCTGGCTTCTTCCCACATGCACTTTCCAAGTCTTCTTCCTCCAACCCCTGTGACAGAACAAAGAGCACACACCCTGCCGACCAACAGAGCACAAGTACACTGAGCAAGTATGCTGCGTGCTTAGACAGGCTCAGCGGAAGCTGGAGCCAGTGGCTGTCTTCTACCACGACACAAGATTGAGACATTTATTTCCTGGGCCTTGGTGGCTTTCATCTGTGTGCAGTGAGAGGCAGATCCGTGACCACACTAAGGCCAAGATCATCAATTAGAGAGGCGGAAGCAGCCCTCCTGTGGCCACTTAACAGCCAAGATGGTTCTGCTGTGAAACCTGGACCTGAGACTCATTTGCAAGAAGTAACAGCAGTTTTAAATAATGGGAGGCATTCCTGTATTCACAAAGAGTTTAATATCACTCTCTTGCCCTAGGACATGCTCTGTTTCTTCTCCTAGTTGGTCTGCATTTGTAAGTAAATCAATTTGTTTTGAATCATTATTTTCTGTATTTATTACTTGCTGCAAACACTGATCACCACTACTGTCTATGAGAAAATAGAGGCAGAGGGCAACAGAGAGCTTTAGAGAAAGGACAGAGAGACAAAGCCAGAGCCAGACAAGCAGAGAGAGAAGAGAGAGAGACAGAAACTGAAAAAGAAAAACAAATGAAAGAAAAACAAAACCCATCTTCTGGGGTCAAGATTAGTAACATCTGATTTCTGGAGCGACAAGACTGAATTTCTCACTAAATGCCATGACTCCAGCCTTCCTAAGGTTCTGCCTACTACAGGACACTGCCAGACGAGCACCTGTTTCTATACAACCTCCCTTTTTCTCTGACTATGAAGAAATTACACCTCTCCCTCTATGGTAGGAATGAGGAATGATTCCAAAGGGAACTGGCCAGCTCACCACCAGGAGGCCCAGCAGCTCCAGGCTCTGTCCAGCACCGCCCAGCTGTGTGAGGGCAGGCGCATATCTATCAATCTGCACACACCCTGGGGCCGGCTCTCAGTAACTCCCAAGAACAGGAACACCACAGCAGCATCACTGAGCGACAGGGTGCCACGGGCAATGTGGCCGAGTGTATAAAGCTCCCTCAGCTTTAACTGACTGCTTCTTCATCACGGCTCCACTAGTGTAGTTTGCTACAAACCAAGGGAAGACGACAACCCCACATGTATGCTACCTTCCTCTACACCAATCCACCATGTACAACAAGAGCCCCCAAACAAGTCTTTACCTTGACAGAGAGGCGGGCTGAGAAAAACCAAAGGTGCTGGGAGACATCGCTGTCTCTCTGAGAGCAACTATCCTCAGGTTTACTTCTTCCAGGCCAGGGTGCTAGTCCAGGGCCTGTTTGCTGGTCCTGGACATTTCCTCTGGCAGGGAGACATGAATGTATTTCTCCTCTTTTCTTCCTGTCCCCTGAAGCATCTCTGGCAATGGCTGCGTCCCCTCCATGGTTCTAGCTTTTGCCAGGTAAACACAGCCACTGGGCTCTAGGAACCCTGCTTCCTCCCTTGGCCCTTCTGGCCCATAGGCAGAACCCTCCCCGCTGCTGCTGTTCTCTAGATTACCTCACTGCTGCCATTGTAGCTGCTTGGCTTCACCATCACCTGTGCAAGCAATGCCCTGGATTAAATCCCCTCTGCTTACACACTTAGAGTCGTTCTGGTTTTCTGGACTGGATCCTGACAGAGAACAGCAAACTAAATTGTCACATAACTAAAATGTAGCAACCTGTTCTACTGGATGTCAAGAGGGTTTCCAGAAGTTCCTTACTGGTCCTCTCTGCAGGACAAACTCTTCCTTTGCCCCTTGGTTCAGCAGCAGCCCAGTCCAGCAGTCTTGTAACAGATCTTACCCTTAGGAGCACGGAAAGCCAAAGAACAACCCCTTACTAAGGATGATAACCTGGTCACCAACTTCTCATTCTGTGACAGCCTCAAGTTTCTGACTGAAGGTGGAGGCATCCTTTTCATCTGCACACAAAATAATATTCCTCACTGTGCAGGGAAAGGTAGAAGAAGAAGGGAAACACTGCCCACAGGAAATCAGGGTGCTACAAGCATGCAGCAGCTCTGGGAGGAAAAGATTTATGACCATTTTCCAAAAACCACTCATAAGAATGCTCTAATTAAAACACAATCACAAAGAACTTCCTGCAGTTTACAATGAACAGCGGAGAAACATCACCATCAAAATATACCAATATTCAATTTCAAACAGTTTTAAGTATTAAGTGAACATACTAGAATTTCATAAAATAAGTTGAGAAAAACTGATGAATTAGGTTTAACTTCTAGGAAATATCCCTCTTCCTGCCTCCCTCCTACTACCCCTTCCCCCAGAAAGCAAATATATTTTGAGATAAGTGTTACTCTAAGATTAATTTTTAATCACATCAGGTCCATGCTTGTCTATAACAGACTTCATTATTAAAAAACAGAGATCTTGGGCATGAAAAGAAAAATGACAGACTGTACAACACATTGTTTCTATCAGTCAAAAAACGCACCCCTTTACAACAGTGCTATTTTCCACTGTTTGGACACATTACTATTTTCACTTTAGACACGATGTTAGCATTGATTTCTGCAGCGTTTGCCAAACAGTGAGAGAACAGCCTGACAACACTGAAGGCACAGAGAGCCGAAGGGGGACAGCATCATTACCTCTTTATCATGGGCGATCAGTTGGGTCTTCACATGGCCAGACACAAGGTTCACTCGCCCCAACACCTGCCCTGTCTCCAGCCCCCAGATGGTACAAGTCGTATCAATGCTGGAGGTACCTGGGAACAACCAGTGCATGTCAGTGGCTGAGAGGAGTGAGGTTCCCAGGCAGTCCTCTCTCCCAGTGCCTACTTACCTGTTCAGCACAGACCACATGCCACAAACACCTCCTAGAACAGGGAGGGTACTAGGAGAGCCCAAAAGAGTCAAGTGTTTAATCCTTACCCTAGGACCTTGGACTCTCACTGGCAACAAACTGTACACACACAGGAAGCTCGATTCCATGCGTGGAATTAATAAACACATTCCACATCTAGTCTCTTTAGTCCCATTCTAGGATAATGCATGGCCCTCGGCCCCAGTTATAAATTGGCCCAGTGTTACAGCTGAGAAAATGTTATCTTTGCTTCTTCAAACTGGAATTAGCACTCCCTCACTCCCTTACCTAAAAGATAAGGATCCACCTCATTCCAGTCAAAGGAGGTCAAAGGAGCACAGAAATCTGAGTTCTTGTTATTGTTTAGCAAACATTCCAGCCTGGTCTCTGTTTCCCCAACCTAAAACAAAAACAAACAAACAAACAAAAAAAAAACAACCAGTCTCATTTTCACCAAAAATCTTTAAAGCTCCATTTAGATAACATCTTAGTAAACATAAGACATGGGGGTGGCAGGGAGCAGAACATTTTATCATAAAGAGTAATAAAACCCAGAGGAACTCCCTGAATACTACTTCTTTCCAAGCTTCCTTCTCTGCCTAGCTCTGTTTTCCAAATTTTTCTATAGAGGTCTTCTCACCAGCCCTACCCAGAATGAATCTTGGTACCTTGCCTGGCTGGGCACTACCTCTAGGTTAGGAGATGCCACTGCCAATAAGCTAAGCTCCGCTGACAGGGGAGGTGACGCTCCATAATCCACATGCACACTTCACTAGAATCAGTGGCCCTGTAGTTTGTTTAATTTACTCAAAAGTATCTTGGCTATAAACAGAATAAGAGGCCTCAAGTATCACTACCCCCACAAAGGTTATATCAGGTTAACTGAGCCTTGGGTTTCCAGGGCTGGCTGCAGCCAGCAGCAGGAACTTCCAGGAATCTTGGCTAGGTTTACTAGGAAATCTGCTGAGCCAGACCAGGTCATTGCAGACACATAAACATCTGTTTCTCTGGGGCTTCGATGGCACTCACTGCCTCCAGCCTCAGTCTGGTCTCCATGACTCCGTGCTGCTAACAGCAGCTGACACAAGCACCTGCTTACCCTCCACACTCGGAGATAGTCGCCGCTTGTCGCCAGTAGGTCTGGATAGACACCTTTTGTGTCAGGGATCCACATGAGCTTTGTGGTGGGGTACGGATGGTCAAAGGTGTTTCGGCAAATAAACTCTGAACTCTCTTCATCTAAACCAACAAGCTGAACCTGTAACACAACACAGTTGAGCCATATAAATGTGTTTTTCTGGAGCAGAGTCAGGTACATCAGAACACTGTCAGTGAGAAAAGTCCTGACACAGTACTGCAGAGTCAAGAATGACCACAGAGTGAGGGAAGCTAGTCCAACCATCCCATTGCTCAGAGGAGGAAACCCAGACTCAGAGCGCTGGGTTACAGTCAACACTGCAGAGCTGGTGAGAGGCAGGGACAAAACTTGAAGACAGGTTTTCAGATCCAAATCCTGCACTTTTGACTCATAGAACCGCATTATCTGCCCCAAGGGTTACACCTTCCTCCACAGCCCTGAAGCATCTGATAAAGTATGTTTTCAGTTACTCCACTGTCTTAAAGGGCTGTAGGTATTTAGACCCTGTGCAGTTCCATACAACAAAGCAACCCTCATCCCCACTGGCTAGTAACAGGTTTGCACAAAAAAAAAATATGAGAAATGAGCAATCGAGAACTTTTTTTTCCTACTGGGATAAAAAAAGATGGTATCATTGATGAGAAAGTTCCTTGGTTCTCGTTACTTTTCCTTAGAGTCAATTTTGGGCCAATATTGACTTCCATTGTGGCTCAGTCAGTGGGAAACACCATGGTATGTACTTATGACCTTTCACCAACTGGAAGACGGAATGAGGAATTTTTGCTAAAGATCCGTAATAAGATAAGCACTAACCATACAACAGAAAAATAGAATTTCTTTTACTCTGACTCACTTTCAGTCTTATACCAGTATTTTCCTATTTTTTTAAATGTAGGTATAGATGCATACAATAGAATTTCACTTAAGTGCACAGTTCAATGATTTGGAATATATACATTTGCAAATGTATATAGTTTTGTAAACCTCTCCAAATAATTGATATAGACATTTGCATTACCCCAAAAAGTTCTCTTGGGCTCCTCTGTAGTTAATCCCCTATCCCTAGTCCTAAGCAACCTATGATCCATTATAGCTCTGCCTTTTCTATAATATCATATAAATGGAGTCATTGCCCTGGTTGGTGTGGCTCAGTGGACTGAGTGCCAACCTGCGAACCAAAGAGTTGCTGGTTCAATTCCCAGTCATGGCACATGCCTGGGTTGCAGGCCAGGTCCTCAGTAGGAGGTACACAAAAGGCAACCACATATTGATGTTTCTCTCCCTCACTTTCTCCCTCCTTTCCCCACTCTCTAAAAATAAATAAAATCTTTTTAAAAATAATTTTAAAATAGAAAATAAATGGAGTCAATAGTGTTGAGTCTTTTGTGACTGGCTTCCAGCATGCCACTCTTGAGACTCAACCACGTTGTGTATATCAGTAGTGTCCTTTTTTATTGCTGAATAATACTGTATTATATGTAATCACTATATCCAGTTGATAAACTTGGGGGTTATTTCTAGTTTGGGGTCATTAAATGTAAATTGATATAAACACTTATGTAAGAGGTTTTTTGGGGGCGGACAAGCCTTAATTTTTTTCTTGGGTAGACAACTAAGAATGAAATTGCTGGGTCATCGTTTATGTTTAACTTTATTCAAAAACAAACTCCCAACCTGTTTTCTAAATGGATTTGTCATTTTGCATCCCCACTAGTATTACATGGGGGTTCCACATGCTCCACATCCTTGTCAGCACTTGGTATTGCCAGCTTTTCTTTTTGTCGTTCTAATAGGTGTAGTAGTAGTATTTTTATTTGCATTTCTTTTTAAGTCATTCTAATAGGTATAGTAGTAGTATTCTTATTTACATTTCCCTAATGATACTTAGCACCTTTTCATGTGTTTATCTGCTGTCTGTATTTATTCTCTGGTAAAGTCCATTCAAATATTTTCTCCTTTAAAAATTCTTTATTGTTTTTTAAATTCATAGACAAATCAGGCTGAAAGTACAGAGTTCCCATATACCCCTTGCCCCCGCACATGCACAGTCTTCTCCACTGGCATGTTTGTTATCAACTGATGAACCTGCCACCCAAAGCCCAGAGTTGGCGTTCGGTCTTTGTAGGGTGCATTCTATAGACTTTAACAAATGTATAATAATGTGTATCCATCGTTATAGTATCATATAGAATAGTTTCACTTCTTTTACTGGGATGCTTGTTTCCTTATTTATTGAGCTTTCAGAGTTCTTTGTGTATTCTAAATACAAGTCCCTAGTTATGTGTGTGTTTTTAAAGATTTCATTCATTTATTTATTTATTTTAGAAAGGGGCAAAGGGAAAAAGGAGAGAAACATCCATCAGCTGCCTCCCACATGCCCCCAACTGGAGACCTGGTCTGAAACCCAGGCATGTGCTCTGACCAGGATCCGAACTGGTGACCTTTCAATTCACAGGTCAGTGCTCAATCCACTGAGCTGCAATAACCAGGGCCCTAGTTACATGTTTTGCAAGTATCTTCTCAGACTATGGCGTTATTTTCTTTCAATGTCTTTTGAAGGGAGATTTAAAATTTTGATGTCAGTTTATCATTTCTTTTATAGCTCATGTTTTTTGTTATCCTAGCTAAGAAACTATTGCCCAATTGCAGGTCACAAATATTTTAAGAGTTTTGTAGTTTTAGATTTTATAGTTAGGTCTCTGATCCATTTCAAGTTACCATAATTGTTTTATACAATGCAAAGTATAAATCAAGGTTCATTTTTTTACATATGAATATCTGATTGCCTCAGCATCATTTGTTGAAAATACTGTACTTTCTTCTTGGCCTCTCTGTTGAAAATCAATTGACCACATATTTTTGCATCTATTTCTGGATTCTCTGTTCTGTCCCATTGGTCTATATGCCTATCTGTTTACTAGTACCACATTGTCTTGATTGGAGCCACTTTCTGGTGAAGTCCTGAAATCAGAGTGTGAGTTCTCCAACTTTGTTCTTTTTCAAAAAGGTTTTGCTATTCTACACACTTGCTTTTCTCTATAAACTTTAGAGCCAGCTTATCAAATTCTACAAAAAAACTGCTGAAATTCTGACTGGGGTTGTGTTGTATTTATAAATCAGTTTGGGAAAACTGCTATACTAAAAATATTGAGTCTTCCAAACCCTGAACATAGCAATTCTCCACTTATTTAGGCTTTCCTTAATTTCTCCCAGCAGTTTTGAAGTTTTCAGTGTAAAAGTCTTCTATTCCTAAATGTTTCTAAAAAATGTTTGTTATTGATTTTGGGGAGAGAGAGAGGTAAAGAAAAAACCCCAATGACTTGTTGTTCCACTTTATACATTCACTGACTGACTCTTATACGTGTCCTCACTGGGGATAGAACTTACAACCTTGGTGTATCAGGACAACGCTCCAACAATGTGAGCTATCCGGCCAGGGCCCTAAGTGTTTTTATTGGGGGTACTCTTTCAGCTATTAATAGAGGGGAGCCAGATTTCTCCTTTGGCTATTATTATTTGTATATAACTTCCTTGAAAAAAGGAGTAAGTGGGTGAGTAGCAGAATTTCGATGCCAAATCCTACAACAAACCCCTCACCATTATATTCTCTTATCATTTTCTTACTCAGACATAAGTTTTACCTATCTTAATGATCTTCCAATTGGGTTTATTTTATTCTTTAAATGCATGTTTAGATTGTAAGAGAATTATAAAGTGTATGACTATTGTATAAAATCAAAGTATAAGTATATTAAAGTTACTAACTCCCTCATCCCATCCCCAATATATCAAATTATTAACTCCATGTGTGTTGCTTCCGCACTCTTCTCTATGCTCGAACATATTTACACACAAGTATAAGGTTTTCCCTCAACTTTCAGAAAAAAATGGGATATTATATCCAATGCTATAAATCTTACTTTTTATTAAATAAAACAATGGGCATCACTTAGGTCAATATGTAGGTCCAACTCATTCTTTTAAACGATGCAAAACATTTTATGCCTTGGACACACGTGTATGTGTCCAGCTGTCATTACTTCTGGGGGTCAGAGTTCCAAGAGCATTAGAAGGTATGTGCATTTTAAATTTTAATAGATGCTGATTTACACTCTAAATAGGTTGTAGCAACTCACACTCCTACCAGGTATTTATAGTAGTGCAATCTACAATAGCTTCTGTCAAATGTGGCTGGCCTAATTTCTCCCTGCCCTCTTCAGGACTGGACTATTTTGCCTGAATGTCCAGAACATCCTTTATTCACTTTTAAAATGAACAATAAAAACTTTCCTAGGAAATGTTTTATTGCCAACTGTTCTGTGCCCATTTTTCTTTACTTCAAACCTTTATTCCTATTATTTCTTTAACTGCATATTTGAGTTTTTGTGTTTCATTTTTTTGGTCTTCTTCAGGAACACCAATTATATAAGTTAGATCTTCTTTATTTTCTGTATCTAGTACGTTCTAATTGTTTCCATTTCATTTGCTTAATCTGTCTCCCCTATCCCTCCCTCACTGTATTTTCAGCAGTTGGTATTCATTTTTATTCTTTTAATTCTGCAATAATTTTTGTTTTTGCTTCCACTATTTTCCTGGGCTCTACCTGCTGATGTTTTTCTTCTGCCACCATGCCTTATTTTACCAGATCTGCATCTCTGCTTGGAGGTCTTTATTTTCCTAAATTCTCTGACTTTGTGTGGCAGGGCTGGCCACTAATTTCCAACTGAGATAAAAAACATTTTTTCTAGTGTGGGTACTTTACCTGCCACTTGTTTCCCATTTCCCCCACTCCCTACTTACAGTGTTTCTATAGCTACTGTGCTGGTTCCTTTTGAATGAGGCAAGTTCTCCCTCAATGATGTAGACAGTTCCTGTGGGAAAGAGGTCATGGCCATGTTCCAAGTTAGCAGAAACATGTGAAGCTTTTGCATCTCCCCAGCTTACAGAGATGAGGAGCTGCCGAGCTGCTCACAATTTAATCACTTGTTCAGTCAGTCTCATGTAATGCTTCTAAAGAAGATGGTACTTCTGTATCTCCTTGCACAGCTTAGCTCCCCTTTGCCCACAGTGTCAAACAGGGTCTGAAGAATCTCCTGCTGCCAGCCGGTGCACCCTCTTTC